TGCCCGGTCCGCGGGGACTTCCGGGACCTCCTGGAAACGAAGGCAAGAGAGGCAATAGAGGAATGCGTGGATCGATTGGCGCCGCGGGACCTCCTGGAGAACGCGGTGCACCTGGAATGCGTGGGCTTCCTGGGCCGGATGGTCCTGTCGGACCTCATGGTATCCCTTGTTGTGTTGATTAGAACATATTATTAAATACATGAAAATATCTGCATACATAAACATTATTGTTATATAAAGATTGTCAATTAATAGTATAAGCTGAGAATATTATAATTATATATATTTTTTATATATTATATTCCTTGAAAAAGAATATTATAAAGAATATTAATTTTTTGAAAATAATACAAAAAAATAGAAGTCTGATTAGATTTACAAAATTACAAATAAGATATCAATTTATGATATAGTCCACAAGTTTTATGAATAATGAATTAAATAGAAGTTTATATAATTTTAGTTTTTAATAGTTAAATCTTTTTGCCGTATTATATTTTTCTCAAAAATTCTGTCTTGTTTTCACATTCTCTCTTTTCCATATACTTACACATAAAAAATACAATATAATAAATATAATAATTCTAAGTAATTGTGATTATAAATAATTGTCAGGACAACCGGGTGATCGTGGTCCAGCAGGAGCTATCGGGCCGAAAGGAGCCACTGGGGATCCCGGACGACCTGGACCGCCAGGGTTACAAGTTTGTAGAAATATGATATTTGAACATTACGATTCATGAAAAATATTATAATGTATAAATATTATAATGTATAAATATTGGTTAAAAATTTCAGGGTTTGCGCGGTTTAATGGGTAGACCAGGAGCTTCTGGAAAACCGGGCAATCCTGGCGAACGTGGAATTCAAGGTGCAGATGGCAAGCCCGGAGAACAGGGTCCGCTTGGACCGCAAGGTCTATCAGGACCATTAGGAGTACCAGGAGAGAGAGGATATCCCGTAATTAATATTATTGGTTTCTCGTAAATTAACGTGTGCGCGAAACTTTTTATGAAAAATACATTTTTACAAATAGATGCAAAGATATAAAATATATTTGGGCGCGTATTGAGCTTTATGTAATACACAAGTATTGCGAATATTAATATTAAATAATAAGATTAAAATGTACAGATATTAATATCGTATTCTAATTATATTTAATTATCTTTTCAAACTTTTATGTTACATCAGGGAGAACCTGGAAAAGACGGTGAGCCTGGCAATCCGGGATCGCCCGGTCCAAGGGGAGATACTGGTAAAGAAGGACCTCCAGGAGTACAGGGCCCACCAGGTCCATTAGGAAACGACGGCGCGCGTGGTTCTCCGGGTTTAGCTGGACCCAGAGGTTTTCAAGTACGTAGCTTAGAAATGTATTTACATTCTCATGATGCGGAATATAAGCGAGATGCAAGATTTAACATGTTAATAAAACTTATGCTTATGCATAGGGTCTTCCAGGCGCCACCGGTAATCCAGGTGTTCCAGGCAAGGACGGAGAACCGGGGATACAAGGACCTCCCGGTCTGCCAGGATTAGTCGGCAACAGAGGCGAGCGAGGAATTCCGGGCGAAAGAGGACTTATGGGACCTCTAGGACCTATGGGTCCTAGAGGAGAAACCGGAGCTCAAGGCGTTGATGGTCTTACTGTAGGTTATTATCTCGCTTATCATTCAGAGCTAGAATATTCCGTCATTTCTATTTTTATTCTTTCGATGTGGAAAGATTTAAAATGATTTAAAAATAAGATTTTTAATTTAGATGCAAAATTTTATATTTAAAATAAATTTACAAATTATTGACTTATTAATACAGTTTTGTCTTTAAAAGTCTCGTATATTAGCATATGACAGAGCCAAAATAAATCTTATATGTCGTATATAAAATGAACGCGTTGCAACATTTACATATATTTACATTATTTCTTTTATTCAGGGCTTACCAGGATCTAAAGGAGAAAAAGGAAGTTCCGGTGCACCGGGATTGTTAGGACTTCCTGGCGCAAGAGGATTATCCGGAGAACCTGGTCAGAAAGGAGAGAGAGGAGCGTTCGGACCAGTTGGCCCTGAAGGTCCATCAGGTAATTCCTACATTTTATTTATGTAAAGTCTATAATATTTAAATTAATTTGCAAAATATTAATATCAATATAATATAATAATTTAATTAATAAGAACTTATTAAAAGGTCATCGATTTTTTTTACTTAAATATTACAGGACACATTGGAGAACGTGGTTTACAGGGGGAAGTTGGACCTCCCGGCCCTCCCGGGGAACCAGCGGAACGAGGTGATCCGGGTCCACCTGGTCTCATTGGCGAACCCGGAGCACCTGGCAATTCAGGGGAGAGAGGTCTTCAAGGATTGCAAGGCTCGCCGGGTTTCCCAGGTCAACAAGGATTAATCGGACTTCCTGGTCTAAAGGGTGATCGTGGATATCCGGGTTTAAAGGGAGAGCAAGGAAATCCAGGGCTATCTGGTAATGAACAAGTAGTTCTAAACTATTTTATAACTAATAAATTGACATGGCTGCTCGTAATTATATGCTTATAATAATATTACTGTATATTAATATATTTATTATATATATGTTTTTATATTATATATTTTATAATATGTAGATTAGAATTTTTTTTACACGCAAATATATAAATTACATTGGATAATAGGCAGTCCTGGCGAAGTTGGATCACCTGGACCTATTGGACTTACCGGTGCTAAAGGAATTAGAGGTGAATCGGGTGCGCGAGGAGAACCTGGTTTAATGGGGCCACCTGGTATCGCGGGACATGTCGGTCCAGCGGTAAGTCGTTAATTTCCACGAATTTTGAAGAGCAAATGCGAAAAGTATATGCTATGTAATAATATGTAATAAATAAATAAATAGAATATTGAAGATTAATATTGAATATATAGAGCTATACAATCGGAAATGTTACAGGGCCTACCAGGAAATATAGGATCACCTGGTGCTCCAGGATTGCCTGGTGCCAAGGGCAACGCGGGCGATCCTGGACGTCTTGGAAATCCAGGTCCGATCGGTAATCCTGGTCTACCAGGAGTAGATGGAAATAAAGGCGAAAGTGGGTCCCCAGGTTCTCAAGGGCCGGCCGGTCCTCAAGGATCTCAAGGTCCATCCGGCGAGAGAGGCTTGCCAGGCTTACCCGGCTCTCCTGGTTCTATAGGAAATAGGGGATTACGCGGGGCGCCTGTAAATATGTTATATTTAAACATACTTTATTTAGTTCTTTATCTAGTTCTCTATTTTATATTTTTCTAGTTACCTAAAAAGATATAAATTTTTAATATATTTTTTGCTTATATTATAATTATTACTATTTTTTTTTCATTTGTAAATAATTTGATATAACAAAATGATTTATTACTATTGCAGGGTGAAACAGGACAACCTGGAAAACCGGGTGTAGAAGGTCCACCCGGACCTTCCGGATTAATAGGACCTCCTGGCCCGCCTGGTCATATGGGAGAGGCAGGACCGGAAGGACCAGTTGGAAAATCAGGACCACCGGGAATAGGTGGCCGACCTGGTGATAAGGGACCACCCGGAATATCTGGTGCAGCAGGCCAGCCTGGTTCACCCGGATTACCAGTGATTATAATTTTTATTTTCTGTCTTTTCTTCAAATGAATGTATTAACCTAATAATAAAATAAAAATATATCAATATAAAATATCAATATCAATAGAAATTTATTCGTTTTTCTTTTAATAGGGGCCCCCTGGATCTACAGGATCTGCCGGGCCCGCTGGAGAACGTGGTTCGAAAGGCGAAGCGGGACCGCAAGGAGTAGAAGGTCCACAGGTAGTGTAATGCGCGTTTAATTAAATTAAATTAATTAAATAATAAACTTAATTTAGATTAAATAACAATAAAATTAAAGAAATTAAACTCGATTTAATTTATGATATTAAACCTGTGAGCCTAAAAAAAAAAAAGAAATATAAAAACTGTTTCGTATAAAATATATACATAAATCAAATTCTGCGCACATGTATTATAACATTTGTAGGGTCCACGAGGAAAACCCGGTCCAACAGGCCTCGAAGGCGCAAAGGGCGATCGCGGGGAAGAGGGACCGAAAGGGATAAAAGGACATCGCGGTTTCAATGGTTTGCAAGGATTGCCCGGATCTCCTGGTTTACCAGGGGAAAAAGGTATGCCAGGTCTGCCAGGATTCTCCGGTAAAGATGGGGAGCCAGGTATTAGAGGTAGTCCTGGACGGGAAGGCAGCCCAGGGCCTATTGGGCCTGCAGGGAATTCTGGATCAAGAGGTCCACCTGGAGAGGAAGGTCGTCACGGCTCGCCGGGTCTTCCAGGACCCCCCGGACCACCCGGTCCTCCTGGAGAAGTTGGTTTTGGTTACGATACCGCGTCTTTAGCAGCATTTTTAGGTATTTAATTGACTAAAAAATCATAAGATATATTTGTACAAATATAATAGATTATAATTTATTATAATTGATTTTTAGACTTTATAAAAATGTCTAAAACATTTTCTAACTTTCTAAAATATTGCTTAGACTTTCTTGAGACTTATTTGAGTTTTTATTTTTTATTTAAATTTTTTAAGGATATTGTAAACGATATCAGCATTAAAAAGAAAAACTTTCTATTGTATATTTATCATACAGCACAAGGTCAAACTAAAGGACCAGATCCACTCGGTGATGAACCACCGAGAATATTTAATAAAGATATTACTGAAGAAGAACGAAGAGAATTGCTTATGAAAGCATATGAAAAACTAAAGTCATCGTTTCAAAAGTTGGTGAAGCCAGATGGTGAAAAGAATTCGCCGGCCAAAACCTGTCGAGATCTATTCATTGCCTACCCGGATAAATTATCCGGTGAGTCTTGAAGACCACTATATATAGTTTACATTATAATTACTGCATTCTTTGTCAGTTTCCAATTTTAATTCCATTTTTTATGACAGAAATATTAAATATATAAAAATAGCGGCAAAATTTCTCCTAAAACAAAAATCAAGCTAAAGAATCTTTAATTCAAAAATAGCATAACAAACGATAAAGATATATTTTTATATTTTGTATAAATGAACCTCATATACAAATAACTCATAAAAGTATTATATTCAGATAATAGTACACTTATAAATTAAATGAAATTGTTCAAATATTACAACGAGCCTCACTGTATGTATATATACAGAACTATTGCATACAAAGGGTGGATTAGATATGATCCATATCATACAGATATGGATTAGAATTTTTAAATTAATATAGATTTACATATTATATATATTGTATAATGTATCAATAGGCGAATATTGGATTGATCCAAACGAAGGAGATGTCCGAGACGCAATTTTGGTGCATTGTGATGCTGAGAAACGTGCAACTTGCATTTTACCAAGTCCCGCTCGTTCAGCAGAGATCACTCATATCACTGATCAACAGGAGACCTGGCTGAGCGAGATAGATAGCGGCATGAAGGTTTCTTTATATTCTATATAATTTGCTGATTCTGGTTGTTTTAATTATCGTGATGAAAGATATAGAACGCATTTACGAAAAATAAATTCTTACAAAATGTTCGTACATTCGCAGATTACATACAAGGCGGATAACAATCAAATCAATTTCTTGCAATTGCTCTCAAAACATGCGCAACAGAATATTACGTATCATTGTAAAAACAGCGTCGCTTACTTCGATTATGAGCGAAAAACGTATAGAAAGAGTTTAAAGCTTCTAGCTTGGAATGACGTTGAATTGACACCACGTGGCAATCAGCGTCTTAGGTACGAGATGATAACAGACGAATGCAGGGTAAGTTAAATTTCTTTGTGTGATATTTTTAATTTTTTCTATTCACAGACCTATTTTTATTTTTATTTTAATAAAAAACAAAATAACTTTATAGACGATTTTGTTCTTAAATATTTTTGAATTTCACGACTTTATTTAATTTTTTATTTTTATATAAACAATTGTTTATATAATATAAATAGAAAGAATATATTGATGTGGCTAAGATCTTTCATATTAGAACATAGAAATGTCCATTTGAATTCCAAGGTACTAAAGGTACAAATAAAATATTATATACGGTTTATTATATTTTTATAAAGCTTTATATTGTGTTATATTACGTAATTTTTATTTATATACTTATCAATTTGTAGCTTCATAAAAACCATTGGGGTAAAACTGTGATTTCATATGAGACGGAAAAACCTATAAGACTTCCTATCTTAGATGTGGCTTTGCGGGATATCGGAAAACCCGAACAAAGCTTCTCCGTTGAAATCGGCGCGGCTTGTTATCAATAATACAAAGTACAATGGTACGATACGATATACGACTGTTATTTGCTTACGAATAACTGTGTCATTTTCCGTTATATAATTCTAAGAAAATGTCTTCCAATGTATCTTAAGGAGATGAGATGATAATATATGTTAAAATTTCATTCTTTACAATAAAATTAACAATTAAATATTATACTTAATCTGCATAGTGGCCTGTATTGTATATATCGCAATTTCTTACTCAAGTTCTCGAATAGCGGAAGTAATTTACAAATACTTAACAAAATTATCTGTAAGTGAACTATATTATACCACTTATATTCTAAGAAAAATGCAAAGTTTAATTGGAAAAAATTGCGATATCTAAAGAGTGATATTACTTGAATATCAAACAAATTTTATCAGAGTGCTTGAATATTATACACGATCATTATCCACGACGAGCAGCGGATATCTATATAGATATCCAGATGTATAAAGATATTCGCGTAGTAACTTCGGATTTAGTACTATATGCGCAAAGTATTTTATGCCAAAGTATTATATTGTATACGTAATAAATAGATAAGTTTTATTTACACGACACACACACATATATATACATACAATATATCGTGCAGTTATTTAGGAAAACTAAAATTGTACGTGTATAATTAAAGTTATCGATTCAATATATATTTCAGAATAATATGGAAATGTTTTGTAGCGCGCAATTCTTTTGCATAAATTTATAATGCATATACATTTTACAAAATTACATTGCGTAATATTTCGCATTTATTTCTCTTCTTAATTCGTTAATTAATAAAACGTGCGCGTAACGCAAGTCATATATATCTCTTAGCTATGACTCTGCAATAGCGAGGTTCTTTTTCTTTTTCTAGCTTAGTTTCCTTATTGTCTCTCTTTAAAGCATAAAATATAATGTTTCATTTTCGAGACAGAAAGTATAAGAAAATATAAGAAAATAATAGATAAGAAGATAAGAAATATAAGTTAGACTAGATAAAAAAAAAGAAGATTCATTTTATCTACAAGCGCAATTATATATATGTGTGAATTACATTCTTCGCCGAATAAATTTTATTTGATCGTTGATCTTGATGCGTTCACAGCTACTGTTGGCGCATGCGTAAATGGAACTTTCCTTGGTCATCAGTGTCAAATATACTGACCAGTGCTGTATTAAAACAGTGGCACATGGTGTGCAAGAGAGTCATATATATGATACATTTTATCGTACAAAATTCACATACTATGCCCATGGATTAATTATATTTATAACTAAATATATCAGACATCTATAATAATCTATAATGAATACGTTTCATTATATATTATTAATTTATATATTATTATTTATTATAATTTCAAACTATTTATTATTAATATTAATATTAATATTAATATTAATAATGCTGTAATACACATATACATATATGAAAAATATATTATATATATAGCTATAAGCACAAAAATTATTATATATAGTCTATATAATATAAATAGCATTATAGCTATATTTGGAAAGTATATAAAAAATTTCTGCACACCGTGACATCATCTGTTGCACCGCCCTTGCCGGCGGCATCTGTGTCGAGGCATCGCGTTACTACGGTACTCGCGGCAAAAGGGAGTAGCTCGGAATACTAGAGGAATCGCGTACTAAACTCCGTCCGGTCAGTTCGTCAGTTGTGCTCCAACCGTTCGTGTCGTCAGTCGTTCGCGCACCGAGACCTTTCGTAATTCCTCCAACGAGAGACGCTCTCACTAAAGTTCGACATACGTTTGCAATCGATTAAATCGAATACGTGCGGAATACACGTGTCAGTGTTTGTTGTCCCGATCGCGCCAATTCTGTCAGCGAAGTTTTGCTCCCTTTCGGTTTATCGATCCCTGAACAAGCCATTTTCGCGCGTAATTTTTTCACGTGCAACAAGCACAAAGAGAACATCTTGGATTGAAAGATTGAGGTTAGTCTCACATTTACTGTCTGAGTCATTACTGACCCGAATGAAAGCCTTTTACCGCTAATGATAACAGCGTTAGTAGCATCATCATATACAGTCCATTAGGTTTAATTCTTGTTATTGTCCATTAAAGCAGAGTTCAAGAAACGACTCGAGAGTTTCGAAGCAGTACTACTTTAGCGAAAATTTTATAGTTATAATTTTAAGTTGTAAGTTGTGTAAATAATTATATAACAACAAAATTGCATCCAAGAGATACAACAAATGATAAATAAAAATTTTTTGATAGTTAATTCTCTATTACTTATAATTATAAAAAATCGCGCGATTAAATCAGAATACTGTACGTTTGTGAAAAGAATAACTATAATAAAAAGCTTGTACAGTTGAAAAAAAAATTCATGTTTTTTCTCGACGTAATCTTGAGTAAGTTATTTGAAGAAGTAATTATTATCGCTAACATAAACAGAATCCGGTTTTACACAATATTCATAAATCACACTTTGTTATGTTCCGAGGCAAAATTAGACAGACAACTCTTTGCCAAGTTCAATGAATACATGTCAAAGAACAGACACGTTGACGTATTTTGTCAGACAATTCATAAATATTATATCGAAAATGTACATGTGCGTACATTAAAAAAAATACTTATCTCATACGTTATCACAATTATAATCATTTCGCGCGATATATCGCCTTGACGTAACGAAGGACAGGGACATACCATATGACTTGTCAGATGAATTTTACATATGTTAATCACAAGAGTATAATATTTTCACAGAGAGATAAATCTTTTCTTTAAAAGAAAAAAAAATAAGACAATTCTCGAAAAATTGAAAATATTATTTTGTCAATGAAAAATAGTAAGATCGAATAGTGCTACTTTAAAACTTTAAAATTATTTTAAATTTTATTTTTTATTAATTTTATTTTTTACTACTTTCAATGCATATTCCATCGTTCGATTCTCGTGTTCCTCTTTATTTATAGCTATTATTGTTGCGTGTAATATTTTCTTGCAATCCAATTATATCATCATTATGTGAATTACACGAGGTCACTTGTTTTCACGTAAGCTCGGATAGTTACATTCCAAAATATTTGACGTAACTCTAATAAAAATTGAAAAATAACTGCAAATTGTGAAATTACATTTCGAGAGATCTAACGTAATTCTGACAAATATCGAGAAAATATTGCGTTCGCAGAATTATATAATACTGATAGCTTTTCTTAGGATTGAGATAATTGTTTTTGCGAAAATATTTCGGGATGTAGACAGCTGTGCGCGCAAATGTCAACGTGTCATCAGCGACGACTCATTTTATCGGCAGCCTATAAATATATAATTCAAGTGTTTGACATAACGCATATTGAATAATATTTACGAGCGTAAAATCTCTATACCCCGGAAGTATACTTTATTAAAATGATTTAAGATCAAATATTCTTTTATTATTAAAATGAAAAGATCAGAATAATGAATGATTAATGTCGAGAAATGTTATATATTTGAAAGATTTAGTGAAAAGATCAACTAAATCGATTTTTAAGAAACTTATTATTTTGTATTGCTATATAATTTGTATTTTCTTTTTTTATAGAAAAAGGAAATAGAAAATTAACTTGGTTTTGCGTGCCTTTCTTATCTTACGGTCAATACATGATCGGCATACAAAAGATTAAAACTGAAATGAAAAGATTCAACGTTGAGAGCACATCAGTCAATGACAAGCAAGCCCTGGATAAATGTCTTGAGAAAATTAATCGCTCGTAGTTCAAATCGGTCGATGAATGAATTAAAATCTGTTAAATATATCGTATTTTTCCTATCGCTTTTGTCAATATTAATTAATATTGATGCAATTGACAATTAGTCAATATTAGTTAATATTGACATACAATTATTTACATTTGTCGTTATCTCTTTCTGATTTCTTCGGAAATATCTTTCAAATCATTTATATTTTATTTCATATATAGACGAAGTGTAAAAGAAGTATAATGTAACTTATTTATCAAATCGATAACTTTGTAAGCAATCAATAAATTCGTTAATGGGAAATTTAATCTTTACGGAAGTTCTATAAAAAGCAAATATATAAATACATTTCAAATTCGACAAATACAAATAAGAACGAAAAAAGAAATCGAGAATAAGAATTTCTGTGATAATATCTTTTCTTAGTTATACCTCGAGAATTTCATTAAAAAATATATTTAAGAAACTAGTAATTAAGTTTCTGGATTCACATATCTAGTCTATATACATTTGAAGTTGATATTGTCATATTTAGATTTAGTGCGCCAAAATTATGACTTGTTGCGCAAGCCTCTGGCTATTCTAATATCACGACGGCAATTTAAATATAGAATTTTCGTTGTGGCGTACGTGCTGCGAGTGTGACGAACAAATGTGGCGTATTTTTCAGGTGTCCTCGTGATCATCCCGGAGAACGCTACGTCGAGCACGTCAACACGCGTAAAACACGCGTCTCATTGTAAGAAGTAGGAGCACCGTCGTCGCGTCCATCGACTTCAAACTCGCGAGGCGGCATGACGCAACGCAATCGGCGAATCGATTAAACATCGCGAAAAAAGAAACGAGCAGTCGCGAAGTCGACTATCATCGATTGACGAAGAATCCACGTTTAGTGGCGAAGATCGAACGCCGAGGTAATCTCTCTCTTCTTCACATCGCGCCCACGTAGTGCATCTCGTTCTCACGCTGATAATACAATTGTGACGATCGTGCGTGACAAGCAGTCAGAATGGCTCTCTTCCGGAAATTCAATGGTAAGTACTTGTCAATTGACGATTATTGGTTGTACGAGATACCATGACTTTCTCTATTTGTTTATTGTCAGTTTATATTTTTATTAGTTTATTGTAGTTTTTTTTTTTAAATGTAGTTCACCGATTTTTTATTTTTGTTATATTTTCTATTTTTCTTTTTTTTTCAGATATTTATAATTTCTGTTATTTTTATTGTTTAGTTTATTTTGTTAAATTTTATTTTTAAATTAAGTATATTTAAAACATTAATTGGAACTTGTTTAGTATTTGTAATTAGTACGCAATGATTTTATAAGTATATTTTATATATAATGCACACGTATATATAGGTACAAAAAGATTAATAAATATTTTTTATTAATAGTCGTAACCCTATTTTTGCATAGAGATTATTTTTGTACATTTAAAACATTGAAATATATATTTACTGTCTATGATATTTGGAATATGAATAAAAAAAGTATATCAGTTTATAGATAAATAGAATATTTGCTTCCGAAATATCGATAGTTCAATGTTCAATCTTCGCTAATATATATTGGCAAGTACTCTTTAGACTTTGGTAAACAAATTCCAAAGTTTCTAATATATATGTTTCAGCACAGTTAAATATAAAATATGACTAATGACAAATAATTTAATATTATAGATAACTGATACTTTTTACAAACACAAAAAAAATTATTTTTCTCTAAATTATTTTTTCGAGGGGAATTCTGTGACATAATTTCCGCGAATCTCATATCATCAGTCAGTGACACAGATTTGTACAGTTCTTTTTATTCCTATGCGATAAGCATCATTTCGAAAATGATAAGTATTTATAACTGTATTATATAAATCTAAAAATATTATATAAATGATAAGTATTATATGCCTACGTATAGATTCGTGCAAAAATATTAGGGAGACATAACCAGCACACGCGATATCGGTTTCATACACGCGACTTTACGGCGCGTCATTTTGCTATACAAACGGAAATTAGCAAACATTACGTATGGCGTATGGTATTACGCAGCTGCATATTTGTCGCACGCAGCGTAATAATATTTTTTTCGAACGAGTGACGTATAAGCACGTCTCAACTTCGTACAAGGTGTCTGTAACACGAGCTTCTATTTTCCGCTGTTCACTTTGCAGAAATAGACCTACGGAACAGATATTGCGCGTTCAATATTCTGGCACATTTTCCGTTCTTAATTTAAAAAAAAAAAAAAAACGCGAACTAATAAAGGATTTATCGATCGCGTACAAGGTCTGCGTCTGCCAGAAGCATCGATCTTAATCTTGACGACGTATTCTGAACGATTTTAAATCAGATCTTTCAATGAGACTCTTTATATTATTAGAGATAATATTATGAAAAAAAAAACTGCTTGTAATAATACTTCTTGCCTTTTTCAACATTACATATCTTGACAAATAAATATTTAATTAAAATCTTAAAATTAAATCTACTTAAAATGTTAAGAAAGTTTAATTTCCTGTATAAGAGTTCCTAAAAATTTTGCTTGGACAGATTTGTTGTTAATAAAACGAAAGATTGCAGTAGAAGATCTTGAATAGCTATATAACCATACAAATTATTTGTTAATGAGATGAATGATTTGTATTTAAACGTGTATACGAAATCACTTGAAATACTACATCATAAATGTGTGACTTCGCTATTCAAAGATATTTTCCACGGTATAAATATTATCACGATTGATATTCTCGATCTGCCGATGTGTAATTATCATACGCGATAAAAAAAGTTTAAAAAAATATTATGCAACTTGAAAAGCGTGTTGATCTTGAAATATTGTTTGTTTTGATGTTTTGTATAATAGTTTTGCATGTCTTTTTTTGAGTTGTAACTATTTTTTTTAGATTGTATTTGTCATTACATCATTATAATGAATAATGCAATGTCGTATTATTTTTGTATCAATGTTACATTTAAATACATATAAATTTTATCTTTGTACATACACAGTTACTAAAAATCGAGAACACGAAAAAAATTGAAAAAAATTGTTCAATCCAAATAATATATAATACAAAAATAAGAAAATCGATATACCAAGAATTTTAGAAAATTATACAAGGAAGGATTTAGGAAATTGTAATTTTTTTATTTTATTTCTCTTATTTATTGCTCTTTGAGTCTCTTTGAATCTTATTTATCATTAAAAAGTAACGCTGTTTATTCATCTCTAAATAAGATTGCATTATTTCTCGATAATATAAAAGAGTGTCTTTAATTAATTTTTAATGTGATTTTAATAAATAATAAAATAATACAATAATATTTTATAAAGAATTTTAACAAAAATTCGTTTTGTCTACCAGACTATTTACATGATGAAAATTAGAAAGTTGTGACAAAATTGTTTGTCTATCAAATTTTTAGAGAATATTTAGTTATTTATCGATATTTATTGATATAAAATTTATGTATAATTATTTTATCGTTGCAAAATAATTTGCAACGTTTCACATATCAGTAAAATATATTGCTCGTATCAGAATGCAACCAGGTTTAATTTAATCTCTCAATAACAGTTAATTTAAAGATCAAAGTATATTGCATCGTGCGATATGGAAAGGATGAAAAAACTCGTATTACGAAGCGCGAAGTAATGTGCTATCGATCCGATTTTCTTTTATCATGTTCCGTAATTATCAGCAATCCAATAACACCACGCATAATCATTAATACGAGAGAGAATGATCGTTCGATCAGGCAGGTATAACTTCGTGACCTTCTGGAATTTATAACCTGCTCCAATATTTTTCCTTGAACGAGATTCTCTTGAAACATAATCAGGATTGGCTGCAAGCATTAACAAATTATTTAATTTTAAATAAAATTCTAATTAGTCTTACAATTTCATAGACGTAGTATATTATTAATAATATATTAATGATAGATGATATGTATTATTTATTAATATGTGTCGTATTAAATAATGATATTAATAAATGAAAATTATAAATAATAGATACATAGAAAAATAATATAAACATAAAGTGACAAGCAATCGCAGCTGTTTTCGTGGATATTATTACATATAACAGAATACAAGATATTTACAGTGTAAGATACATGTTATTCATTCTTGATTTAAAATTATTAAGTCTTATACGCTGAGAGGTTCAAAGGTCAGAATCTCGACTTTGTATTATAGTAAAGCAAGAGCTATATTTACGTTTGTGCATTATAATATTTCGATGTGAAATGTATACACAAGTGTTTCAATAAATAAACTAATATTAATAGAAAGTTTGCAGAGGAGATTTAATAATAAGCTGCAGGGAAGATTTAATAATAATAAAAATGCTATGATAGTAATACAATCTAAAATCGATTAATTGTAAGAAAGAGAAAGAACCTCTATAAATTATTAATCTGGATAAACATGAGACCGCAATATTTTTCAACATATGTATTTTAATATTATGTTTAAAAGTATTATTAAAGGTAAACACTTTATTTAATAGCTATAAAAATGATTAATATAGATTATGACTATTATTGTATCATTGAAAAATATTATATCACATTGAGCAAATTATCGCAATTTATTCCAATTGACTCTTTAGTAACAGCATTCGCATGTATTACAGAGAAGATTCCTCGAAGAGGGATTCTGGGGGCGATGATGTTCCTGGCCTGCATGTTCTCCTACGTCATTCGTACCAATCTATCCATAACTATTGTCGCTATGGTAAATGTTACGGGCAAAGATGGTGGCGTAGGTCCAGCGTGTAGTGTAGCAGATCTAAATACCAATAAGACAGTCGTGCTCAAAGATGTAAGTTGGCGATCGCGAAATTTATGTAGAAACTTTCACAAAATTATACTATAAATATATCTTTGTTATATTTTTTTTTTAGTTTGGAGAACGTTTCGAATGGAATCAACATATTCAAGGACTGTTACTATCAGGATATTTTTATGGTGTTCTACCAGCTAGTGTACCCGCTGGACTCTTAGCCGAAAAATACGGAGGTTCTAAAGTAGTGGCGTAAGTATAATTAAAAATATATTTTTTTTTTTAATAACCATTAATTTATCTGCGGTTGGTTATTCTTGACCTTTTCGTGACATAGATTCGCCACGTTAATACCCGCAGTATTAAATCTTTTGATGCCATGGGCTGCTTCTGTTCACTACGGTTTCGTCTTTGCACTTCGTTTTGTAATGGGATTTTTCGGAGTAAGTTGTTCAATCATCTGTATGTATTTTCAGTATATTGTGAGATTGTGTGTTATTTTAATAAAACTACATGAATTTTTCGCATTTAAATACTATACTTATTGTTAGTTTTGTTTTGCGATTTTTACATCTAGTTTTAATCATCATAGAGATAGAGTATATTTTTTTCTAGTCATAAACATTTTTTAGTAAATTTGAAATAAACTTTTTTTTAATATATAATTAGTTTTATCTAATTTTTTGTAGATCTCTTAATAAAGAAATATATTGTTTATGCTTCTTCTTGTGTAGTATATTTTCAACTCAGATATGTAAATCCTTAGTAAGAGTAACATTAATTCTTAGGGCGCCGTTTATCCTGCTCTCCATGCGATGATTGCTAGATGGGTGCCTCCTGGTGAAAAGGGCATGTTTGTGTGGACTATGCAAGGTAATTATTCTTTCTTATTTATTTTTTTTTAATATAAAATGTTTCTGAGATGTAATAATATGTAATATTCACATATATGTTGCTTTGCTTTTTTCAAGGTGGTCCATTCGGAACCGTTGTGACATTCGCTTTATGTGGCGCGGTGATCAGTGCTTACGGATGGAAAACTGCATTTTATGTTACAAGTGGGCTTATGTTAGTTTTTTATGCTTTATGGGTATACCTAATATACGATACACCGGACTCGCATCCCGGGATCACCGAAAAGGAGAAAAAGTACATAAAAGAACAGATTGGCACTAGCGTTTCGAAGCAAAAGGTTTGAAATGTATTTTTCAAATAAAATACAAAATAATGAAAAATAAAAAAAAAAGGAATCAAAATATACTAATATTAATATTTTACACAGGTCCAATTACCAGTAAAGGCAGTCGCCACATCTGCACCGTTCTTAGTATTACTATGGTCTCACTTTGCAAACATGTGGGGTATATATTTTATCGCTACAAATGGGCCGAAATACACGTTAGAAGTCCTTGGCTTCAATATGAAATCGGTACTATTTTTGTGACAAATTTATTTCGCGAAAAAAGGTTTTGAATATAACATTATACTTTTATCTCGTTGTTACTAAAGATGTTTATTCTGTTTATAGGGTGGCGCAATAACCGGATTGCCTTACATAGCTAGATTGGGCGCCGGAGTGTTATTTGCAGCTGCGGGTGATTATGTGCGAAGGAAAAACTTTTTGTCTCTAGGCTGGATAAGAAAGATATTTATGCTTTTCTGTAAGTAATTTGAAACAATCTATATTAGGAGTTGAGATGTCGTAATGTATGCGCGTATGTATGTATAAACAATTGTTAATCTAATCAATAATTGTTGCATATTATATGAACAGCTCACATAGGACCTGCAGTTTGTTTGGTAGTGATGACATATGCCGGTTGCGACGCCACAACTGCGATGATAATGTTAATACTGGCGTTGACCTTCAATGGAGCTGCATGCCAGACCAACTTACAGAATCATCAAGATTTAGCACCGAACTATGCTGGTTCTTTGTACGGAATTATGAATACATTCGGTAGTTTCCCCGGATTCATTATTCCACCCATTATTGGCGCTTTGACCAATGAGAGGGTACGTTATACCTTTACATTAAAATTATGTCAAATACATATATATTCTAAAACTCTGTTTACATAATTTCATATTACAGAACGGAGTTGAAGAATGGCGTGTAATGTTCTGGATATCGGCGGTAGTATTTACATCGGCAACGGTACTCTTTTGGCTATTCGGATCGGCGGAAATCCAACCGTGGAACGATACGACTCACACTAAAGTCCCTACTATTGCCGAAGAGGAAAAGCGAATAAACGAAACAACGACGAAAGATACGGCGATCGATACGGAAACCGAAGAAAACGAACGTCTCTAATGACTTAGAAAATAAAATGAAGGTAATCTGTGTCCATGTCTGTACACAAATTAATAGTCTATTGTCGAAAAGAGAGCAAATTTTGACTCTTTGTCAAAAAATGTTACTATTATGTCATATTTTATATACCAATTACAACCAATATTTGTACAATCTTTGTACTTCCCATTGTTAAACAATTTTGGATACAAAGAGAATTATCTCCTTGTTAACACATATTGAAACCTTGAAATAGAAGAATTAAAATGATGTACAGAATATTTAATATAGAATATTCAATTATGTTTTAATACGTTTAGAATATTTGCGCTCCCTAATTACAGATACATATTGCTAGAATATCACGGCAGATCTTTTGTATTTAATCCGATTTATATTTTCTTAGATGCGCGCGAAAAAATTTTTCTCACGCTCTTTTTTTATTGCTACCGCGTTTAAGACTGTAGGATATTTCAGAAGATAAAACACATTTTAGATTTTATATATTTTTCATAATTCTCACGCATTTGTATCGTCTCGAATATTTAATTATAAGTATTTATATATTTGATATTACGCTTTCGTGTCACGTGTACTACTTACATTTTATAACGTCATGTCATCAGAGCGTTAAAAGAGTTATAAGTGTGGTATTTAAACAATGTATCGAAAGGTAAGAATACTCTGTAGTGCATTTTTTTGTTTTGTGCCAAAGTATATGTATTACGTTATTCTCATTGAAAGGTCAACGAAACTATGATCGGTGAATCAAATGGTAGGTGTAAGGAACCTTGGCACTGTCTTTGGGCCAATAAATGGCCGAAGTTAAGTTAGATATTATAAATATTTTACGCTAGGCACATTAAATCGTCATGTATATCTCTCATTATACACAATAAAGCTTTCATTGCGTGAGACGATTTTATATAATATATTATTTTATATAATAAACGATGTGATATATATATATATTCGCAGTAATTTACGTACACACCAATCTCCGCTTTAATCGCGACCAGTGATCTGTAGATTGTTTAATATATCACTTTATTTGTGAACATCTCGAATAAATTGGGACATTAGATGATTATGGAATCGTACTCGCGAATCACGAAGCGTTATGAATCCGGTGATAAAAGTAGCTTATCCTCTAATTTTCGTTTGTGAGATCTTTCTTGTACATCCAAAGAATAATCCGAGAAATCGTAAAATTGAATTACTCACATCCGAAGAAGAACATTACACTTGTGAATAGGCGAAAAAAAATATACATTATGTTCGTAGATGCGTTTGTTATAAAAAAATATAAAAAACAATAAATGTCGTTCCTATGTACTTTAAAAAGACGATCATTGTTCAAATTGACCTATTTCGACGCAATGTTTGTTGTTTTATCAATAATAATGTTACTACGTATGTAATTACTTTAAAATCTGTGTAAAGGAAATGTTCAGCAATAATATTGCGCACGTAACAATCATAAAGAAAAAAGAATATATGAAAATAAAACTCGCTGTTTTAAACTACATGATTTGTGCGCATATATATGTGTCATAATGTTATTAATTGCAGAGTTGTGTATGTTATTTATAGACACATATTTTAATATATGTTTATTAATTAAATCATGACTCACGACAGCATTTGTTTTATGAAATTCATATTGCGAATCGTACTAGGTCGTACATGTATAACAAATGATCGAATATATTTTGTGCGATTTCTCATATAATAATAAAGAAATTGATATGTGTCTTTAAAAATGTGGTTAAATTTATTATAATTTATTAGCTGGATCACGAAGCTTTTTCTTGTTTCTAGATGGTTTCTATATTAATAAACAAAGAGAAATGAACAAATCTTTTTATCAATTTATTTATACAGTTATACAATTGCACGCACATTCTTATATACTTGTATATATCATCTGCATGTTCAATAAAAATCATTATATATGATCTCTATATATTAAAATCTTTTTTTTGTTATTTTAAAACCAGCAAAAAAGCGCTTAATGTGTACATGACGTTTTAACACAAAAAGATTAATTCGATTGATTTTCACTATTATATCCGTCCTCGAAATTCTGATAAGGGTCGGGTAGAAACAACTCTAAATCTATCTACTCGTGGCCTAGCGTAAATTTGGCTACTATTAATAGATCGCCTATAATGTTGATCTAGGTTCACTAGCGTGCAATCGTCTACATTGCAAGATATATGTTCCTCGTTTATGTCATCATCGGGCAAATTACGTTCCCGTGTAGCTAGAAAAGTGATCGCGGGACAGGTCTTGCGAGTGCAAAACGTGCTCTTCAATATTTGCAATGCTTTTGTTGTTTGTAAGCTTGGAACACTTTCGGACTGTGATGATTTCTTACAGTAGGACGAGTTGGACATCGGGACCGATTTCGATCTCGTGGTGCAAACACTAGTTGTATTAAACTAGTGGAATCTGCTAATATTAAAACAACATATTTTTTAAGTAATTGTAGATTATAAGAATCAATTATAAAGATGATTAGAAAGAGAAGTATTTTTTTTTGAATAAATTTTTACGATCTTTAAAGCAAAATATGCAGGTACTTTTAAGTGATCATGACTTCGCTAGTGTACTATCGATGATACGGGCTCATCTACTGATAGAATCTATAAACATTATATACGATAGCAAATTATAGAGAAATATCTGATATAGAAGTCACTGACAAAAGAGAAGAAAATGATATAATGGATACAAAAGATAAAGAGGATAATAATAGTGAAATTCATCGTTGGATTGAGAAATTAAAAACACAAGCGGAAATAAATAGTGATAAAAAAACTTCTCGTTTAAATGCTTTTTATTTACCTTAATTTTATGAACAAATAATAAGATTATGTCTAGAATTTCCATTATGGTCTGGAGTTTTAGCTCCTATATTTAATTCGGAATATGTGCATGCAACATCAGCACATTGTGAAGCATATATTTTAAAGACTTGCGAGAATATATTTTCAAAAATGTACAACTCCTATGCATGCAGACAAATTTATCAAAATGCATTTACGATCTATTGACGGAACTATGAAAATAGCATCTGCTGCTATTGTAACTTCTAATATAAATGATACAAATAATAATGTTATGAGTATTAATCGCAATGACAATAATATGAATATTAATCATACAAACAATAATATTAGTAAGGAAATTAATAAAAACGAAGATATGCATCAATTTGAAAATTGGATGAATAAAGGTAAAACCGAAACATATTCATTACAACAAAATGAAGAAACCAATGATAATAACAAATTATCAGATCATACAAAATCACCTAACAGTCTTACTAACAAGAAATCGAAATATTTCAAGCCGTATCCAGAAATAAAACATATTAAAAACAATAAGTTTAAAAGATCAACAAAAAAATTCTTTTTCCGAAATGGTTCTTTCTTACAACCGTTGAAAATCAATGGAACTACATATGAAATTCGGAATACGTGTCCTTTTGATTCGATTGCTCAAATTATTACACTTACTGCTTTAGATGATGAAAATTATTTTAATTATATAAGTAATTCAAATAATAAGTTCCTAAAATTTTGTCAATTGATTTTAAATAATGGTGTAAATGTCACCGTTTATAAGGAGAGAATCGCGTTGTTATTAGATAATAATAAATTAAAGTTACCAATAACGAAAACTGGCAATGTATATGTATATCATAGACGTATATAATAATATTGCTATAATATGGACAAATCTTACAAAAGATCAACCATGCGTCAATAAAATATCTGAATGTTCCTCACATGAATGTCCAAAAGAAATACATAATATATCAGTACTTGGTGTTAATCATCAATTAATTCAAGAAAAGGTATTTATATGCTTAAAAGAAGCACTTCAGTATAATTTTCAAATAAAAAACGTCAAATGCCAACAATCTGAATGTCCTGAACGTCGCACTGAATATGTTGAATTTAATTTACATCTATATATTGAACTTGATATTCAAGTATCTTTAGATGCTAAAACAGGCATAAGTTGTCAATTAAAAGATTTTCCTGTAACAATAAATATTTTAAAACAGGAATATATGTATGATAAATTTTCTTAAATTTTTATTTAAAAATCTATATTTTTAAAATATAATATTTATCTTTCTCGTTATAAGTAAGAAATGAAATATATTTAATTTTATTACATACACAAAATAATTTTATTAAAACAACTTAAATAGAAATTATCTATGACAATACAATGATAGAAGAAAATATTGAAATACGCAATGAATTTTAATTTTCCATAAAATGACATTATTCTCGCAAGTATAGTAATATGCAATTGCATATTTTTAAATAAAACTCGATGTTTTCTTTCTTTTTCTACATAAACCAATTATTTTCATTATTTTACATAAAAAATATTAAATATATGAAAATTATTTGTACACGTAGATGTCTATATTTTATTATTAAAAAATATATTTTTCTATCACGTTTTTAAAACTTATTGATATTATACTTTTAGCAAGTATACTTCTATTCAAAATAAATTAGCAAGCGTAATTTTTTTTGATAAAGTGGCTATATAAATTTTGTAATTTCGTTTCGCATTCACTCATTATACATTGATTATTTATTGCTTTACATTGAATTTTTAGATTAGCCGGTGTAATAGCATATACTAATCAACATTACATTGCATATGTAAGAAGAATACACGGCACATAACGAACGTTTATAGTAATTCCAGTTATTCATAGAAATTTCTGAAGGGGAAATGATCAATTTAATGCGGTTATTAAGATTTTTTCGGTTAACAATTAATTCTAATTCTTATACTACATACATATCTTTTGTATCTATAAATATGAACAAAAATCATAAAACATAAACAGTCATTATTTTTATTACGCTCTATTACGCTCTATTCTGCTCAATTCTAAAAATTAAAAGATTATATATTTTTTGACATCTTAAAAAATAACTATCCAAAAAGAATTTAAAAAACTTTTGTTATTATTTTATTATATCGGTTTACTATGACGAAAAAACATGATAAAACTCTTGAAGTTAGAAGTGGACAAGGTTAATTTGACCTATATATGCAATTTAAGATTTAATTATTAATTATTGGGAATTAACTACCAAACATTATTAATTGATCGTTAAATGAATATTTATGATTATATTTAAATATGCAATAATGTAATGTAATGTAATGATATTTCTACAAGAAATACGGTTACACGCATATATTCTCCTTCGCATACATATATTCTATTTTCTTCCTTGACAATTATATTTTTAGTTATTAAATGTTTGGAATACGTTAAGAAACGCCAGCAAATGACCACCAAATGTATGCTTACGATTATGATTATATATGAAAAGTCAAATTTGGCAAAAGAAGAGTTAACTTCACGTGCATATATCTTTTTTGTATTATTAATTACAGTTTTGATTTCCAATCATTGGATATGGACTACCAAATGTCAGCACGCGACCACCAAACGAATGCTTACAGTTATGATGTTCTATGCAGTCTGGAAAGCCGAATTTTATAAAAGGGGGGCTAACTTCACGCGCGTATGTCTTTTTTTCGTATTATTAATTACAGCTTTGATTACCAATCATTGGGAATGGACTACCAAACGTTAGTACGCGACCACCAAACGAATGCTTATAGTTATGATGTTCTATGCAGTCTGGAAAGCCGAATTTTATAAAAGGGGGGCTAACTTCACGCGCGTATGTCTTTTTTCGAATTATTAATTATAGCTTTGATTACCAATCATCTGGAATAGACTACCAAACACTACCAAACGACCACCAAACAAATTATAATGGTTGTTAGGTGAATTTTCAATAGTGGGGGGGGGCAACTTCACACAGCTAACGGAGGGCGATGGAAAACAACGGAGGACGGCGTAGAACGACGGAGGACAAGCGAAAGCAACGAAGGACGATGGATGGCAACGGAGGGCGACGTAGAACGATGGAGGACGACAGAAAAAGACGGAGGACAACGGAGGACGACGGAGAAAAAAATTAATCTGCATTTTTTAATGCAATGTCTCAGTTGTTAAAACTGTACGAGAAAATGTTCGGTTTCGAACTCAATATGCATGATCGATTCAAGTAGTCGTTAAATAGCTCCTAGCTATTTATTTTTTAAGAAAATCAGTGTAACGACTATTGGGATTTGATTTTACGTACTTAGTTCGGGACTGGACCCCTTCGCATAGTTTTATTGGAGACCAATCGGCACTTTTCAGTGTCTTTTTATTGATCTTATGGGAATTATCTCGATATCGCAATCGGCATTTTTCAATGCCATTTTTTAATAAAATCTCATGGTATATTTTAATATTCGTACAACTTTTCTGTAATAATAACTACTAAAGTTTCTTTGACGGTTAATATTACAGAAAAGTGTTAGAGCCCAATTGCACGTTTTTGATTTTGAACAAGACTTAAATATGTATCTATCCTTATTTATTTAGAAAGATTGATAAAGACATATGTTTCAGTATCGCATAAATCCAGAATAATATTAGTGCAACTCGATCTAAGTGTTGCGAACAAAATATTGAACGAAAGGATATTATCTTTTTTTTCTCTTGTTGTTTAAAATTTTTAATTTTATATTTTCGTTTGTTTAGATCTGCTGGATTGAGGAAGATGCTATTAGAGGACTTTTACTTTGGTAGCCGGAAGATTTAAGGTAAAATATTGAAGATGGATAGACTTTGAAGCCCGGGCCTAATATACTTATATACGGTATTTCATTTTAATACGTATTGTTTATTAATAATAAATTTATTTGTTTACACAGATCAGAATTTGGAAGAAGCTTTAAGCACTTTAAAATATGCCGAAAATGTGCAGAAAATAAAAAAATAGACCAACCAGGTACGTATCTACACCTGCATCTGGATCTGCATCCACATGTACATTATCCGCATCCACATACGAAAACCAAATTAAAATTTTACAAGAAAAAGAAAAATATTTAAAGTAAGTAATTAAAAAATAATTTTTATGATTTATTATCAAATAAATCAAAAAATAAATTATACATAAAAGATCATGGGAACAACACTGAAATTGTAAATACAACTAAAATACATATACAAAATGCAAACGATGCATTAAAATACATGGCCAAGGAAGCTATGCGTCGCATAGTAGCAAAAACTGCGATGAATGCACATAGCTCCCGCGGACACGGAATATTTACTGTTAATATATACCAACAGAAAAAAAATGATCCGTAAGTAATTCCCTATTTATGATTCTTTAATTGTATTTTTTCGATATCCTGTATTAAATTTGTAAAAACAGAAATCTCTTTTTCAGAAATAATAAGATGTCATCTAAAATAAATTTAGTGGACTTGGCAGGAACGGAAAGGGTCAAAAAGACCTTAACGAGCGGCCAACAGTTCAAAAAAGGCATCTGCATAAACAAAAGCCTGATGGCCATAACAAACATGACGAAAAAAATAGATCAAAAATATAACAGCCACCGCGAAAATAAATTGACACAATTTTTAAAGGATTCTCTGGGTGGCAATTCTTTCACGTTAATGATTACCTGTGTCAGTCCTGCGGGTAAATATTTATCATATATATCTATATATATAAGTCGCGTCTGTCTGTCTGTCTGTCTGTCTGTCTAAAGCCTGATGGGGGAAGGGGTTATGGGATATATAAGGAAAGGGGGGGATGGGTAGGGTCAAGGAAAGGCGCGGTTGGATTACGCAAGGAGTTATAGTTTGGGCTGTTGTAACTCGGGAAGTCATGCGCCAGCGGGTCCCCGGGTTACGACAGATACGGTCCGAGGCGGTCGCGGAGGGAAGAGTTTTTAGTGGGTGAAAGTCCCACACTATCTCATCACACCGGGTGGTGAGGTGTGCATAAGGCATTTTCTCTCCCCACGCAAAAAAAAAAAAAGGTTAGGTTAGGTTAAGTTAGGGTTACGGGGTTCCAGCTTTTTTGCCATTTTTTTATTACGGAAATCGAAAATTGGTCACGCGAAACGGATTCTGGCGTTGTCTCGCGTCGATATCTATCTCCGTTCCTTAGTTATAGGGGTGCAAAGCGTCCCTTGCTATTTTGGGTCCGTAACTCGGAAACCGTTGACATGGCAGGATTGGCACCCGAGGGACATCACATAAATTTGTAAAAATAAAAATTTCTTTTTCAGAAATATTAAAATATCATCCAAAATAAATTTAGTGGATTTGGCGGGTATGGAAAGGATGAAGAAGACCTTAACAAGTAATTGTCAAATAGTATGTTTATTCTGCTTCAATTTGAATTGGCGCCTTCTAGAAACGATTAGTCTAGTCTTAATTCCTGTTGTCAGATGTCAACAGTCGTTTAGAAGATCGCGCGAGAAGACGTGTCTCTCACCCCTGTCGTATCGCGACCGCCAAACAGTTCGCTTGTATCGTTATTAGCTCGTGTCGTTCTTTTGTAGTATATCGCTTATGTCGTATATTGCTTCTGAAAGTTAATAAAGTACAGTCTTGCTTCTCGCGCAAATCATTCACGTTGATTCCACTCAACCCAAAAACCAACAGTAATGAAAAAATAACAATTAGTAAAGTTAATAAATATAATAATTAATAAAGTACTCTATATTCTTTATGAAGAAGACCTTAACAAGTGGCCAACAATTTAAAGAAGGGATTTGCATCAACCGAAGCCTGATGGCCCTAATAAACATGACAAAAAGAATCCACCAAAAATATAACGGCCACCGCGAAAACAAATTAACGCAATTTTTAAAGAATTCCTTGGGTGGGAATTCTTTTACATTAATGATTGCCTGTGTCAGTCCTGCGGATAAATATTTATATACTACATTTTATTTTAATACATATTATTTATTAACAATTAATTTATTTTATTACACAGATCAAAACTTAGAAGAATCGATAAATACTTTAAAATATGCCGAAAATGTGCAGAAAATAAAAAATAGACCAACCAGGCACATATTTAAATCTGAATCTACACCTGCATCGTCCGCATCCACGTCTACATACGAAAACAAAATTAAAGTTTTACAAGAAGAAAAAGGAAAATATTTAAAGTAAGTAATGAAAAAATAACAATTAGTAAAGTTATTAAATATAATAATTAATAAAGTACTTTATATTCTTTATACAGATTAGCGTCAAGGCGGAAACAAAAAATTATCTTTTTAGAAAAAAAATTAAAATCGGTAACTTTAAATTATTTAAAAGAAAAAAGAAAAAATAACCGATTACAAAAAATAATATTTGATAAACAAAAAATGTGTGATCTAACATATAACAATAATGAAACACAAAAGTCACAGATAACATAAAATTTTGCTTTTTATTATATAATCATGTGAGAGATTATTAAATCTTTATGTGTTTTATTTGATTACAGAATCATCTTTCACCACTCCCGGGAAATTCAAAATCAATTAAAAGTCCTAGCAAATGTAGATGCAAAACAACATTTATGGGCCGATTTTCTCGAAATTGGTACCAAAATTTTGAATATATATATGTGTTATATGTATAAATATATAAAAATATATAAACGGAAAATTTATTATTTCAGCTAATAAGAACAGAACCTCAGACTATTTGGAAAACAGTCACGAGAACAGTGCGCCAAATAACAGCAATGGTGAAATGGTATCTAGAGATTTATTTCATTTTAATATCAATGATACGAAAGGCAGAAAATTAAAAATTGGAGTAAACAAAGAATTTTTTGCAGCATTAATTCCAAGTAATATATAACATACTTTCTCATTCTCAACAAGAATATCATATGTACAGACAATACGCTCATGAAGCCTTAAATAATGAATTGAATGCGCAAATTATAGCGCAAAGAGTTAGTCGAGATCAAGATAAGCTCGTAAATAATCAGGAAAATCAACGACTAGGAGAGCTAATTCATTTTTAATTTAATTTGATTTATTTATTTCTTCCATCTTAATATTTAATATTTTCTGTTTTGATCAATTTATTTACTTTATCAATGACATCTATTATATATGAAACCAGCAATTTATTTATATATTCATTTATGAAATGAGTCACGTCAAGTGATATTAACTCTTATTACCCATAAGGGGTGTTTTTTTAAATTTGGCAACAACATAAATGTATATTTGTGCGTATGTGGATGCATGTATGAGTGCGTGAGAGGGTGGGTGAGTGTGTAAAATTAAAACCACATAGTAGCCATCCCCGAAAAATTTGCAAAATTTTGACACCAATTTCGAGAAAATCGGTCCATAAATATGAAACATAGTGTGTAGGTGCGTGGGTGGATAGGTAGGGGTGTAAAACTAAAAAAAAAATCACATAGTAACCTTCCCCGAAAAATTAGCAAAATTTTGGTACCAATTTTTCGAAAAAATCGGTTGTCCGTGTGTAAATGCATATGTGGGTGCGTGGGTGGATGGGTGGGGGTGAAAAAGGTGATGTTACAAAACCCCCCAAATAGATGGGTGGGAATGTAAAACTAAAAAAAAATCACATAGTAGTCTTCCCCGAAAAATTAGCAAAATTTAGGTACCAATTTTTCGAAAAAATCGGTTGTCCGTGTGTAAATGCATATGTGGGTGCGTGGGTGGATGGGTGGGGGTGAAAAAGGTGATGTTACAAAACCCCCCAAATAGATGGGTGGGAATGTAAAACTAAAAAAAAATCACATAGTAGTCTTCCCCGAAAAATTAGCAAAATTTAGGTACCAATTTTTCGAAAAAATCGGTTGTCCGTGTGTAAATGCATATGTGGGTGCGTGGGTGGATGGGTGGGGGTGAAAAACTAAAAAAAAACCACATAGTAGCCATCTCCGAAAAATTTGCAAAATTTTGACACCAATTTCGACAAAATCGTTCCATAAATGTGAAACATGGTGTGTAGGTGCGTGGGTGGATAGGTAGGGGTGTAAAACTAAAAAAAAATTACATAGTAGCCATTCCCGAAAAATTAGCAAAATTTTGGTACCAATTTTGAGAAAATTGGTCCATAAATGTGGAACATAGTGTGTGGGTGCGTGGGTGGATGGGTGGGGGTGTAAAACTAAAAAAAAACCACATAGTAGCTATCCCCGAAAAATTAGCAAAATTTTGGTACCAATTTCGAGAAAATCGGTCCATAAATGTAAAAGTAGTTCGCGGTCCGACAGACAGACGTCAGCTACTTATACAGGGTGAGGCATTTATAGTGACGCGGGCGTATTTCTCGGAAACGAAGCGAGATATTAAAAAATGTTTCAGACAAAAGTTGTTTGGTTCCA